TAGGGTTTAGGGTTTAGGGTTTAGGGTTTAGGGTTTAGGGTTTAGGGTTTAGGGTTAAAAAAATGCGTAGAGTCGCGAAGTTGAGGCGTGTGGGGCGCGCCGTCCTCGTAACTGTCGTCACTCGTCGTCCATGGACTGCTGTTGGGGTGCACCCACATTTTTTTTAAGCAAGATAACACAATAACATCAAATACGTCGATAGATGAAAAGCGTTTGAAAGAGAAAAACGATGATCATTACGGATAAAGAGACAAAGAGAAAGATAGATCAGAAAGAGACAGACAGAGAGATAATGGAGAGAGAGAGAGAGCAAGAGATATGGACAAGACGGGATCTCGTGTCGCGCAATGCATCTCTTGTTTTGCCGTGTACGTGACATGTGTCTGCATTCGGGTCCGTTGCAAGAGTTGACCTGTAAAGAATCAAGTTTACAAAGGGATGCCTATCAGGTACCTACACCCTACGTACACCCCAAACCCGAATTCAACCCCAAACCCTAAACCTAAACCCAAAACCCACTCACCTCAAGCAACCATACCCAGATGCCTGACCCTTGAGCTGGTTCTGCTGGCTGCCCCGCCTTACAGGCTGAGAAGACTGATGTAGCGGCTGATCTCAATTACCCTGTGTTAGCGTTTAGGGTTTAGGGTTTGGGAGTTTGGGGGTTTCATGGGTTTACATAGGTTAGAGTTAGACTTGCGGGCAACGAGCTTACAAAGCACATGATTTAAATCAACCCGTGAGTCCCAACTTCGATTTGTTGGGGCTTCGCAAGGGGTCAGGGTTCGTCACTTGCCACGCGCTGCCGGGGAACAATTTTTCGGGACGACAACGTCCGCGGAAGTATGCCAGGAAAGTGACCCAAGAACCAGCACGACGACAGCCAAACCACTTAATTTGGGCTTCTGGGGTTTACCAACTTGTGGGCAGCCCTGGAAAACTGCGAGGTACCAGGCTCAAGAAACAAGACAGTAGTGGTCCGGATGGGAAGGGTTTATGGTTTACGGAGGGTTGAGGGCAGGGCTTGCGGGACTCAAGCCCAAGGAGCTCCACACCAAGGGTTTTAGGTTTTTTGCTTAGGCTCACGGATTTCGGGTTTAGGATTGAGGGTTCTCTCCCCCTACTTTGGAGTAGACCCTGGAAGGAAAGTATATACTTTGTAGATACTAGCAGCTATAATACGAACCCAGAACTAAACAAGTATTCGAGTATAGTACTCCGAAACCCAGCTCCAATCCGGCAAGCCATGTGCACCGCGAGTGAGGACCCCAGCCAAAGACCGTTATGGAGCTTAGACTTGGGGGGGGGGGGGGGGGCGCCGTCGTGTTCTAAGAGCCTGCCGCCAAGAAGAATTCGGACAAGGATGCTAAACCCTAAACCCTAAACCCTAAACCTAAACCCTAAACCCCAAAACCCTATGTAAATCCTAAACCCTAGAACCCACTCAGTGGTTGCCTTTGCCCGCTTGCCCTTCGTGGGGACCGGCCGGATCCTTCCCACAGGAGACAAGTCTTCATAAGGAATTAGGGTAGGTCTCAGGGTTTAGGGCTGCAGGATTTGGGCGCCCCCCCCCCCCCCCCCCCCCCCCAAACCAACAAAAACAACTTATAGTAACTACCCTCAGGCTCCGAGGACCCTCCTACAGAGGCACTGGTACCTCCTAGGGAGGGTCGCGGGGCCTCAATTTGTAGGGTTTTGGGGGCCCAAGAGCCTTAGGCCTTAGGGTACAAAAGAGCAACAGAAGAATCATAGCAATGATGCGATTCTGGGGGTGGAGGTGACCAGACAAGCCCTTCCACAGTTGCAGCCTCGCGCACTTCCACCCTGAAATTATGAAAACCCTTAAGCCCTAAGCCCTAAGCCCTAAGCCCTAAGCCCTAAGCCCTAAGCCCGAAGCCCTAAGCCCTAAGCCCTAAACCCTAGCCTAAGCCCTAAACCCTAGCGTGTGAACAGACCGAGCTATCGCAACTCGGGGCGCTTCGTGGGTTCGTGGCCATGCGTGTTCGGATTACACCCTACCTTAAGAATGGAAGATCTGTTTTTTTGTTCAACATCTTATGAACTTTTTTGTAGGCTTCTTGGGTACCCTACAACAAAAAAATCCTATGAAATCCCTTATAGGCAGCTTCGGTAACCTGCAATCAAAGGGAGGCTTTTGGGTTCTTGAGGTACAGAGTTTGGAGAGCTTGGCACTCAAGGGCCCTTGGTGTGGGCGCGGTCAGGGGCTCAGAGACTAAAAGACTTAAAAGGGTATAGGGTTTCGGGTTAGAGCTTAGGGTTTAGGGTTTAGGGTTTAGGGTTTAGGGTTTAGGGTTTAGGGCTAAAATGCCTAAGCCCTAAACCTAACCCCGAAAGTCCCGAAAGCTACCATTGACCTTTGTCCTTCTAGAACCTACAGTACTTTTTTGCTGGGTAGGCCCGTTTCTCTTTTGAAGTAACGTAGTGGCCCTACATGCCCTCCACCCTAAACCACACCAAAGAATAGGTTTTGCAAGGGGAGAAGGTAACAGTTCCTCCACAGTTCCCTCCCTGTAGGGGGCCACAAGATCTGAAGAGATGCAAGATGGTCAACGTCCAGCATATGCTTTGGGATGTTCGGGGTGTGGGATTCGCACGGGCACGTAGTATAACAAGTACCCCGAGTGGCCAGATGGGGACCAGGGGGCCATTGGTCAATGACCGTGTTCGCCCTTTCTTAACTGCTACACTCCTCAGGAGCATGCCCTTTTTGCCCTTCTTCTCATTTTCAGGTGGTGTCTGGCTCAAAGGAGTTGTAGATAATTAGCTGGCGCTTGGACGAATGCATGCATCTGCCCGGGGATCCCCCGAAGGAACATTGTCTGCTTGATAGTGATCTGAAGCACGAGGAACGTTGATTCTGGTTGGTTCTGGCTGGAACTCGACGTATGTAACCTGATCACTTTCAACAGATTCGTCTGCCCATATAACACATTGTGAAATTTGGCAGGCGATCATGCATAGAAGCTCTCAGCGAATTCCGTGTAACGTTGGCATTAGCGCGCCTCGCTATCAGAACCTGGCCATTGCCCTGAATATCCCATGAAGTAGTGACGCTCCCTTAGCTTCCCCCTCTGTTACTTGAAGGCTCATGGGTAACTAAAAGTAGCGTTAGAAGTTAGAAGTACCTTCATTAAGGTCACAATAAATTCACTGGACTTATATCCCCACTGTGGGGACCCTGCCTACTACCCATGAAGTTTAGGGTTTAGGGTTTAGGGCTTAGGGCAAGAGTCGGTCTTCGGGCGGCGCCTGCGGGCCTGTACAGGCCTGTACTTGGAGGTTCATGGTACTTGTTAACCAAACTGTGCTTATAACTGTACTTGTAAGCCCCTTAAGTGCCCTAAGATGGCTATGGGTACAGTGATAAGTACAGTTATAAGTGGCTACAAAGTACCATGAACCTCCAAGTATGACAGCCACAAAACAGCTGCCCACCCAGGCCTGTTTAACAGCCACGAGGTATGCACAATGGCTTTGAACGGCCTGTTTTAGGATGGCCCTTAAAGCCCTGTGAACAAAAATCCTGAATATGCCAATAAGAGAAAACATAACATGCCCCCCCAAGAGCCTACCTAGTTTGTTGGGCTCATGTCGTCTGTGCTGGCTGCAGGCGCAGACCATCCGACCTCTGGTATCCATGAAGGTTCGAAATGCGCCCTGCAGCGGGTAGGTTTGGGGTTTAGGGGTGGGGGACTTTCGGCCCCAGCCCGACCCCCCTCCCCCCACAATACATAAACACGTACACTTTCATTCAGGCTGTGGCAGCAGGCGCACGTATGGCACCTGTTTGTTCACCAGAGCCCATCAGCTCAGAACGAGCAATACCGTTGCATGACCGCCGCTGCTCCTTTCACGCTAGAGTGCGAGAATAGGACATGATTTCAGGATCCATGAATCTGAGAACAGGCAAGTCACACCAGCGGTCGAAAATACTTGGGCCGATTTCTTAGAGAGCCGATGACAGCGTGGACTTGAGAGCAAGCACTCTTCTCGAAGGGTGGCTGCGAGAAGCAATCGGTTGTGGTTTGGGCTGAGGTTTTCGCCACTAGTCTGTCATCTTCAATCTTGATTGCATGGGTCGGCACCTCATTCTTGGACGGAAAGCTACCCGACCTCTGAACATCCGATCATGCCAGAGGCGGCTTTTCGGTGCTGGCGGCCTATCCTATGGTTGCAAGGCCCTAAGCCCCTTTGTTTTCTAAAACCCTTTTTGCATCCACAGGAGTCTTTACAGTCTTTACTAAACCCTACACCCTACACCCTACACCCTAAACCCTAAACCCCAGACCCTGCCTAATTGCGGGAAGACCGCAGCCGATTCGCAGCCATGAGGGCCTAGGTTGGCCCCAGAAAGCCTCTGAAAGAAGATTCCCAAGCAAGGGCCAAGGCTAAGGGTTTGGGGGAAAGGGGGCTTAGGTAGGGTGAAGGGTTTAGGGTTTAGGGTTTAGGGTTGGGATGTGTGTGTTCTCCCTTATACGAACAGTCCCGAAAAGGCATCAGTACCCCGCCTAGGATAGCCCCCATTAAGGACTGTTGGTCTACGGGGGGAACATCCCAAGTTTCGGGCTTAGGATTCTCTTAAACCAGTAATAATAAGGAAAATGCCCAAACAACAACTGTACCAAGGTCCCAACCTAGTGGCTCGAACTTTGTTCAAGACAGTGGCAGCAGCACGCTGGGCCTGCAGCACTGACGTCGATGTGCCCGCGGTCGGGTGCGGATCTGGGTCTTGGGGGCGGTGCTTCCCTTGGTAGCCCAGTAGCCATCTTATAATAAGGGTGCCCTTTGTGGGGTTGGCTACGTCTTAAGGTAACCAAGAACCACAGGAAGGGTACAGGGTACCACTGGGTTACCAAGTTACGTGTTCGGCCACGCTTCTTCCTGTTCTCCCGCGAGGCCTGCGCACCCGAATGAACGGCGACGACTTCCTGCTTCCCATGTGGTGTTGGAATAGCACTTTCGAGATCTAGGGCGACTTTCACGGAGGGGTCCACGTCAAGGTCCTTGCCCGTCGATAAGGTGAGCGCTGAGAAGCATCTCATGTAACCGGGCGACGCCTCAGAGCAGCCCACCACTGCATCCTCATCGGTGTCCGGCCACACCACGGGGTCTGCAGTGGCACTTGCTGGGTCTGCGTCGCAGCTCGAAGGAAGCTCCGGCTCAGCGTCGCTGCGCCCGAAAGGTGCGTAGCCGGAGAAGCTCCTGGAGCGACGTACCTTAGTTGCTGAGTTCACAAGCCCCCAAAAAAGTGTTCTTGTAGAGATTCTAGTATCCCAAAAAAGTGTATACTTTTGGTTTTGTAGAGATTCTGGTATCCCAAAAAAGTGTACACTTTTGGTTTTGTAGAGATTATTAGTATCCCAAAAAAGTGAGAAAAAGAAAAAAAGTGTACTCACTCAGCTACTCAGGTACTGTGGCGCGACGGAAGATGTCCTCGGAGTCGGGCGACTTTGCATCGACCGTGATGAACACCTTCGTAGCCCAGTAGCCATACCATAATAAGGGCGCCCTATTTTTTGGGGGGTGGCTGCGTTTATAAGGGAAGCCATAACCAAGAAACAAAGAAAAGTAAAGGGTACCACCGGGCGCCCAGTAACTATATTCTAGTAAGGGCACCCTTTTTGAGGGGTTTAGGTTACTTTATAGTATAAACAAGAGGACCCTTTTTGGTGGTTGCTGTATAAGGGAACCCATGGCAACAACAAAATGGGTAAAGGGTACCACTGGGCTACCCCTTAGTAGGCCAGCAACCATTTTATAACAAGGGCACCCTGTTGGGGGGGGGGGGGTGGTTACTCTTACAAGGGAACCCATGAACAAAAATGAACAGCCCAGAAACCATATTATAAGGGCACCCTTTTTTGGGGCGTGGCTACTCTTATAAGGGAACCCATATAACCAAAAAAATGAAGGTAAAGTGTACCACTGGGTTACCTTTTAGTAGCCCAGTGACCATAATTACAACAAGGCCGCCCTTTTTTTCTTGGGGGGGGGGGTGGTTACTCTTATTATAAGGGAACCCATATAACCAACAAAAAAAAGAGGTAAACCCTAAACCCTAAACCCTAAACCCTAAACCCTAAACCCTAAACCCTAAACCCTAAACCCTAAAGGGTACCACCTGGGCTGCCAAGACGCCGGCGGCAGCGGTGGCAGGCGCGGCTCGGCAAAGGCCATGGCGAATCGGATGCTTCTCCCGAAGCTCCGGGAGATCCCCCGACTTGCAAGAAGACCCAAAACAACTTCTAGACCCTAAGCCCTAGACCCTAAACCCTAAACCCTAAACCCTCAACCCCTAAACCTGCGAGCTGCAGCCAGGGGAAGCTGGGCCTGGAACTGACCTTGTGCAAACACCCTGTGATGAACGTGGAAGCACGAGCCTGACAAAGTCGTCTCGGCGCAGGGATCAACGAAATTCGGGATTTAGGGTTTAGGGCTTAGGGCGACCACCCTACCTTCAGAAACCGGATCTTCCCCTAAACCCCTAAGCCCATATAAAGCTCCCTTCCCAGTGACTCGGTGCCATCACTGGCTCACTTGTATTGCAGGCACACGTGAGACAGCATGCAGGTCGCTATCTAGATTCCCCCCCCCCCTCCCCCCCCAAAAAAAGGGGCTCCAGGCGGTTTATGGTTAGGGCTTTCGTGCGCATACGATTCCTTTTGCCGAGCCACCAAGAGATTCTGACAACGCTGCTTTCTCCACTGCTACACATTTTCAACTCGTAATGTGGTTAAGTCCAGATGTTGCCCGGCCCACCTCCTCTCAGGCACCATCTTCTTGACGGTGAGGTCATAGTAGCGTTTCTGAGCAATCGCTCAAGCAGGCTGACCCTTGAACCCTAAACTCTAAACCCTTACCTTGAGTGCGCTGGGAAGAGGGGTAGGCTTCAGGCTGCTTCTTAAGGGGTAGGAGTTATGGGCGGGTTGCGGGGTGTGCAAGGTTAGGCCATGGGAGTCTGGGCAAATGGCTATACTTGGGCGTTGCGCACCACAGAAATGCTTAAAGCTCCTGCCTCAACCTTGTGGGAATCTTCCCCAGAATAAGCTGGCATGGCGCATGAGCCTAAACCCAGGCTCTGGGAGCAGGACTCTACTGGAACTCTGCAAATCGACCTAACTATCCGGCATGCGGGTCAAACACCCTAAACCCTAAACCCCTGAACCCTGGTCATCTGAAGCGCTTCCTAAACCCTAAACCCAAAACCCCAAACCCTAAACCCTTTCCGACAAGCCGCCCCGCTTTCGGTCCGGAGAACCCGGACCACTTCGCTCACCACGTACTTCTGCAGTTGGCCACTCATGTACATGACCTTCCCAAATCTAGGTGATGCGGCCTTGTGAATTCGTTGTTTTTTGTTTACGGTTTAGGGCTTAGGGTTTTGGTTTAGGGTTTAGGGTTTAGGGTTCAGGGTTTAGGGTTTTAGGGTTTAGGGTTTAGGGTTTAGGGTTTAGGGTTTAGGTTTAGGGTTTAGGGTTCAGGGTTTAGGGTTTCGGGTTTAGGGTTTAGGGTTCGGGGTTTAGGGTTTAGGGTTTAGCCCCAACACCAACCCAATGTCAAGGGATTCTCAGGGGATTCTGGGGTACTGCATAGAAGCCCATCCTGCTTCCGCTGGCTTGATATGAAGCACATGAGAATTAGGGTTTAGGGTTTAGGGTTTAGGGTTTAGGGCAATGGAAGGGTTTATGGTGGAGGGCTTCCACGTTCAACACTGATAACTTGGGATGTTCCCCCTTATACTCACAGTCCAGAATTGGGATTGTAGTAACCCCCTATAGTCCCTATTGAGGACTGTTAGTTTAAGGGGGAACATCCCAACTGACAACGCCTGTTTCGTGGGATCACGCGGCCACTTAAGGCTTCGATCGTGGCAGAATTCGGTTAGGGGGGGCTTTCTTTCACTAACCCTAAACCCTAAACCCTAAACCCTAAAACCCTAAACCCTAAACCCTAAACCCTAAACCCAAAAGCCCTTTCGACTTGCTCCCTGCCCTGTTTTGCGGCCCCCGCCAGCGGAGCACTTGTGAACTCTGAACCCTAAACCCTGTCGATCCTAACCCCTAAGAAGCAAGTATCCCTAAACCCTAAACCCTAAAGCCTAAAGCCTAAACCCTAAACCCTAAACCCTAAACCCTAAACCCTAAGGTAATACAGCAAAAACCGAGCCTTCTGGCCGGTGTGGTACCTTCCCTCCTTGCTGGCACTAGGTTTGGGAGCCGCTGCGGCGGCCTGGCGAAAGCATGGGCTTCTGAGGTGCAGGGCACAGCTGGCCCCTAAACCCTAAACCCTAAACCCTCAACCCTAAACCCTAAACCCTAAACCCTAAACCCTATAAGGGCGCGGCCGCAATGTGTCCGAAAGGCTTGGGGAAAGTGTTGGGGTGTGGTTGCAAGCCGTCCCCTAGTGATAAGTAGGGTTGAGGCCTTAGGGCTTAGGGTTTAGGAAGGTTCGTGGGTAGTTCAAAAGTCGGGCGAGTATAGCCTAACTTTCATTAAGGTGATAATAAAGGCCACCTTGTTTATAACCCGACTTATAACTACACGTGAACCTTCAAGCATGCCTGCTCTAACTCGAAGCCCTCCCGCTCACATTGAGAATTCAGGAGGGCTCGTACCCGCTGTTAGTTGCTCCTGAAACCTGGAACACTCAAGCCGGGTCCCCAAACCCTTAGGCCCTAAACCCTGAACCCTAAACCCTAAACCCTGAATCAGGCCCCTGAAGCCAGAGCCTAGCAGCTCCGAACCCCCGCATCCTTTTTCTTCCTGCGTGCCGGAATGAGGCCCTCAAAAGCTTAAACCCATCTCTGTCTGTCTCTCTCCCATGCTCTGTCCGGCCCTTTACCCTAACCCTACACCCTAAACAAGACATAAGGCTTAGGGCATCGGGCTTACGGCACTTCTACACTTGGAACCCCAAGGCCTAAAACCCTAAAACCTCAGAAGCCCAAAACCCCAAACCCCTAACCCCTAAACCCTAAACCCTAAACCCTAAACCCTAAACCCTAAACCTCAAACCCTAAACCCTAAACCCCTAAACCCCTAAACCCCTAAACCCTAGACCAAACTCAAAGGGGCTTAGGGTTTAGTTGTTTCCATCCTGGAGCCTCTAAAAACCCTATCACTACACCCCCCAAAGGTCTAGGGTTTAGGGTTTAGGGTTTAGGGTTTAGGGTTTAGGGTTTAGGGTTTAGGGCTACTTGAAGGTTCATGGGCAGGTATATGTAGGGATATCAGTACCTCAATTAAGGTCATAATCTAGGTTGCATTACTTCTAACCCTACTTATAACTGCCCATGAGCCTTTCTCGAGTGACAGCAAAACCCCTGATAAGCCTGTAGCAGAGAGCCCTCTCCTAGATTCTTTCCCTAAACCCTGAAAACCCCTACAACTCAAAAGGACTGCAATCCTCCTGAATCCCCTCTGCAACCCAAAAAGCCCGAAACCCCACTGCCAACCAAATAGCCAAACCCTAAACCGTTTTTTCTCAACCGACAAACCAAACTGCCCTACAGCCTAAACCCTAAAAACCCTAAGAACCCTAATCCTAAGAACTCCTAACAACCCTTAAAAACGCCCTAAACCCTCAGAACCCTAAGAACTCCATCTAAAGAACCCTCAGAACCCCAAAGAATCCCAAAGAACCCCCATGAACCCTGAGGAACCCCTAGAAAACCCCTAAAGAACCCTAAGGACCAACCCCTAAGAACCGTCAATTCTGAAGCTTGCCTCCTTTGGGGCCACTGCGCCCTCGCCAGGGGCGGGGCCGTTGACTTGCTCTGGGGCCTGGGTAAGGTGTAGAGGGTTTGGGGTTTCAGAGTTTAGGGCTTATTAGGGTTTATCGGGTTTTAGGGTAAGGGGCAGATTATGAGGGTTTTATCGGGTTTTGAGGGTAAGGTGTAGAGGGTTTGGGTTTTATAGGGCTTGCAGGGTTTAAGGGTTTGGGGTTTACAGGGTTTACGGGGCTTTAGGGTTGTCAGGGTTTAGGGTTTTCAGGTATCATGGTTTAGGGTTTAGAGGGATTATGGGGATTATAGGGATTAGGGCTCATAGGGCTTGCAGGGAGTATAGGGGTTACAGAGCCTGTAGGGTTTATAGGGTTGAAAGGGTTTTGAGGGGTTTTCCAGGGTTTAGGGTTGCCCTAAACCCTAAACCCTTTTCCCTAAACCCTAGGGTTTACCCGGAGAAACCAGGTGAGGCGTTCGCAGATCCAAGACCGTCTCGAGGCAGAATGTGCCCAACGAAAGAGGCTACTCCTCATGAAGGCACACCCACCCTAAACCCTAAACCCTAAACCCTAAACTTTAAACCTATGATACTCTTGTTGGCATCCATGGTGCTTAGAGTTTGGGGGGCCCATGGCTTCTTTCTATGTGTATCTATTGGGATGTTCCCCCTTATGCTAAGAGTCCTGAATAGGGAATTAGGGTTTAGGGTTTAGGGTTTGGGATTATAATAAGGGGTCCTATAATCCCTATTACGGACTGTTAGTATACGGGGGAACATCCCAATGTATATGTATATGCGCAAGAAGACGAAAAGCGATACACTTGTCTTTGATTTTTTCTTTCATGTGTCTCTATACGTCACGCGTATGGGACGTTACCGACGATGATGGTCCCTTTTGGGGTCCCTTCTAGTACGGAGCCGTAGAACCCGAAACCCTTTGTCGAATGGCACGCTGCTTCTCAATTGTCAATCGAAATGTCCACCATCCAAGGCGGGCGTGAGGTGCACAGCTCAAACTCTGATGCTCGGCGCTGCTTACTTTCAGATGCTGTACTAGATACCCTAAACCCTAAACCCTAAACCCCAATAGATGCTGCGCGGACTTAAGGCCCAAAGACCTAAACCCTAAACCATGCCAAGCAAGGTAAGATCTGCTTCCTCCCGACCGACACCAGAAAGGCAGCAGTGTGGAATTGGAGCCTTGCACTGCATCACGAAACTGACTGGCTCGTAGGGGGAATGAGGGAGTTACGGACTTAGGAACCCTTTTTGTACCCTTTCAGAGTGTAAAATTTTTTTCTCCCTAGTAGGAACCTGTAGGTAAAGCACGATGCGCACCGGTACCGGCCCTGCGCTACCTGCTCCACACGCTTAAAAGCTGACATGCAAGCGCAAAAAAGAGTGTACAACTCAACCTGAGCAGCTCCATTCATGGGTTCTAGGTTCCCCCCATAATTAACGCTATTTAGGGATAACTAAGCCCAGTTAAGGTTATCTTTAATGGGGGGAACCTAGGGGGGGGGATAGCATAGAGGGGGGGGGGGGGGGGGTCGTAGGAAGACCCATATCCATGTGCCAAAAAGCACACGCGATGGTCGCGCTCCAACGTGGTGTTGAAGTCGCAAACCAAGCTGGAAGGCTGCTAGGGCAACGCCCTCACAGGGATGCCGATGCCCGGAAAAGCTCGCGTGGGCTGATTCGCGCCGCGAGTGGCTCGGCACCTCTGCTGTGGCGCGAACTCCTTAAGATTCTGGTATAGGGCCTTAATAATTAGAATAGAGTTTTGGGGGGTTTACTATGGTATGCTTATGAAGGGACCATGAGAGAGTACTATTAGAAATTATTCCGACCCCTATAGTAAGCCCATCCCAACTTCGGGTGCTGTCTACGTGCACAGCGCATCCGAAGCGATGGCAAAGCAAACCATTTTAGGGTTTAGGGTTAGCCAACGACCACGACCTAGCGTTGTGGCATTTGGCCGTGGCTGCTCCGAGGTTCTCTTCCTTCTCAACTTCTCTTCCATGGCGTGTCACAAGAATGCACAACCCTGAGCCCCAAACCCTAAAACCCTAAACCCTAAACCCAAGAGATAAGGCTTAAAGGGCTCAGGCCCAGGCTTTTCTGTGAGTGAGGCCTCACCATGGTTAGAGACTGGCCAGGACAGCTTTTTCTTGTGTCTTCCGGCCCGTGCACTGCGAAAGTAGGCGCCGGCACATCTCCACATACGAGCTCGCTAGATCTGCAACTCTGGTGGCAATCAAGGCGTCGAAGCTTCGCCTGATACAGTCATGCACCGACCCTGCTTGAGGCCACGAATTGCAGTGCCCACTTCCACAAACATCTGGGAAAATTTGGTCGTGGCAAATTGTTCAGCTATAGGTTGGCCCTCTAAACCCTCTAGTAAAAGGATCCTAATGGGAACCCCAAACAAGGAACCTCAAGAATCGAGTAGGAATATGAAGGGAACATACGGACCCTGGGAGGTATATGCTATTGAACTCCTACGATATTTTTGGAGTTCCCTGTTTGGGGTTCCCATGAAAGTCCCTTTAGGCTCTTAAACCGTCAAACCCGATAAGAAGAGATGTATCATGCCCCAAGAAACGTGCCAACCAAAGACAGTGTGGAGGGAACTGCTCAACTTCCCTGGACAAAGGGGCGTCCCGAGCATGATGTAGCCACGAGTTGTGAGTCTTAGCGTGCTGACCCTCAACCAAACCCTAAACCCTAAACCCCGTAACCCCCCTAAATCCCCCAAACCCTCTGAACTGTAAACCCCCCAAAACCCTAAACCTTGGACTCCTGACTCACCTTCGTACAGGTCTCGTTGCCCCCCCTTCTCGCCGAAACCGCCAAGGCCCACATCCCTGGATTCAGCCAAATCATCGACGCCAAAACGCAGCTAGTCATTAACATTTTGCAAAAACCAGGCCCTCCTCTGTACTTAGGTTTAGGGTTCAGGTTAGGGTTTAGGGTCTAGGGTTCAGAATTTAGGGTTTTCGTGTACCCAAGTATGCCAAGGCTGGGATGATTCAGTGCCAAGGGCTGCCAAGTCGGCGCCTCATACGGTGTCCAAGAAACGGCTGCTGAGATGTCAGGGGTCTGCTTGGAGGCTCATGGTACTTGCTAACCCACAACTGTACCTGTAACCCTAAACCCTAAACCTAAACCCTAAACCCTAACCCTAAACCCTAAACCCTGTAACCTATAACCCTTCATTATGACCATGTTGGGCACTTAAGGGGCTTACAAGTGGAGTGCAGTTATACTTGGTTCATAAGTACCATGAACCTCCAAGTGCCTTAGCACCTCAAGCGTCTTTGACTTTCCTAAGGGGCCATGTACCATCATGTACCTAAACAGGTGTGCGTGGGCCTTACGTACCTCCTATATAAGGACGTCGGGGCCCAAGTATATAAGTTTTAGGTTTAGGGTTTAGGGTTTCGGGTACCCCTAAACCCTAAACCTAAACCCTAAACCCTAAACCCTAAACCCTATGATGAAGGTACATGGCCCCTCAGGGTTCCTGGTAGCGAAGAAGGTCACACAGCAGGGGCCAGGCGCCAACATCTAAACCCTAAACCTAAACCCTAAACCCTAAACCCTAAACCCTAAACCCTAAACCTTACACCCTGGGGCTCAGAGATTTTCTCGTGGGAGGGCTCCAGGGTTGGTAGGGTTTTAGGGTTTAGGGGTTTAGGGGTTAGGGTCACTGCACCCCTCCCCCCCCCCCCCCCAAAAAAAAAAAAAAAAGCAAGCAGTGACAATAAACGCACAGATGATATGTATGCCAGGAATTCTCTGCAAGCACTCTCCGCTGGTTTTCCCGACGCTCCAGTAACTCCGTGATTCTCTGCGGGATTCTCACGAGGATGGCCTTTAAGACCATCCGAAACACATTCCTGAACATGATCCTCTTAAACCCAAGAAGGGAAACGAAAACATGTCCCAAGGGCCTAAACCCTAAACCCTAAACCCTAGCTCATACTCTTCGGGCTGCTCCGGGGGTAGCAGAGCAGGGAGTCCCGGGTGAGGAGTACAAGAGTCCGATGAGGTACAATCAAACAACCGATTGAGCGTGGGGAGAATAAAGAACAAGCAAAGGACCTGGCAACAGGTACTTGCATGAAGCACACTGAAGGCTTGCTTGAAGACTGTTTGCTGAGGGAAAGGGACTGACACGATCTTTTAACGCCCTTGTGATGCTCAAAGTGGCGATACCCTAAACCCTTTTTGAACCCAGGCTCTGCACCATCATACCCTAAACCCTAAACCCTAAACCCTAAACCCTAAACCCTAAACCCTAAACCCTAAACCCCAAACCAAGAAGCCTAAACCCAGGATTCAGGACTCCGCACATGCTCTACAGCTCTTGGTCTAGCTAAGCCATCGACTGCGGAATCATATTTGGCAGGAAAACCTCAAGCTCTGAAAGCGGTTTAGGGTTGAAGGTTTGGGGTTTAGGGTTTAGGGTCTACGATTTATGGTTTATCTGAGGCTTCGCTTTTCCAGTGGACCAGTGCACAACCTGTCGCACTGTACTGCTGAGCTGCTGTCCCCAATGAAGCTTCTGATGATGAAGGGTTTAGGGTTTAGGGTTTAGGGTCTAGGGTTTAGGGTTTAGGGTTTAGGGTTTAGGCGAAGTCTGGCACATCGGGAATGGCAGAACACGAAACCATGCCTCAGAAACCCAGACTCCGCCTAGGTAGGGGTGGATTCCTAGACTTCTCGTGGCGTCCTGTCGAACCCCTGCTTCGTTGCGACCGAACTGTCCACAGCCTGGCATGAGGGTCGCAGCTCGAGCTCCATGGAAAAACGGGTGTTTGGTTGGTTTAGGGTTTAGGGTTTAGGGTTTAGGGTTTAGGGTTTAGGGTTTAGGGTTTAGGGTTTAGGGTTTAGGGTTTAGGGTTTAGGGTTTAGGGTTTAGGGTTTAGGGTTTAGGGTTTAGGGTTTAGGGTTTAGGGTTTTACTTTCACTGGCCCTCTAGCTGCTGCAACACTGCGAACATGAGTTGTCATTTGTCAGTGCGATCACTTCCCCGCTGCAGGGTCTCGCTGCCCCCTCACGGAACGGTGGCGTGGAAACTTGGCTTCAGATGGATGCATACCAGACAGCCCGGTATTGGCTTGAGTATGGCGATTTATAGGGCCGAGTAGCCCTCCTGGTACGACTCATCCTCTCAATTCCTCTCAGCAGGAACAGTGAATCACTGCTTCAGCTTCAAAGCATCTGGAATGGAAAACTGTACGAAGAGTGTTGGCATGGCTCGACGGCTCAACACATCTCCCTTTTGCTTGGCGGCAAACTCAACGAGTGGCAGGCACCAAGTCCATAAGCAAACAGGTGGTGGGATGAGATTGCTTGCTTACAGCTTCTGACTCTGCACATGAGAGTTCACGGGGGGGGGGGGGGGGGGGGGCATGCGCCAGCCGACACACCATCGAGTTGTGCAAGAAGCAGCTTTGCATGCTGAAAATCATTCCAGGGTCCTATTGAGCGTCGCCGCTCCGTGAGCGTGGGAGTTGTCCGAAGATCCCAAACCCGAGGCTCACATGGCTTGTTGTTAAGGAACTTCGGCTTGTCATGCCACGAGAGGCTGTGCTCAGGGTCGAGGATTTAGGCTACAGTACCAGGTTGCGGAAACCCTTCCTTGTTGACTGTATGCCGATGTGCTCGCTTGAGTTAAGTTCCTTAACACTCATGGCTCCAGCCGCCCCGGTGCTCTGTTCTTTGATGTCACACCTAGAGATACCTAGAGTTTACAGAGTTGAGGAGTTTACGGCTTATTGATATTGCAGGTTTTGAGCGAATATTCTACTACGTATCTGATGCTACATATATTGTAGGGTTTAGAGAAGCTGCTTTTCAACTCCGACCCGCGGAGACAGAGCAGCCAGGGCGAAACTCTGGCTTAGAATCGGCACCACTCCGAACATTAGAGTGGTTGATGCATGAGCAGAGCTCAAGAAATAAAAGATATTCGAAATCAAGGTATTTGGGAAAAATGGATGAACTGACTGGCGGTCATGACCTTGGTGTTGCCTCGCAGCACTTCAACGGTGGTCCGGTTGCCCGATGCTTCTGCAATCTCCTTGGTGGCCCGGTAACTGTACTATAATAAGGGCACCCTGTTTTGGGTTCGTTACTTTACAAGTGAACCCAGAAGCAAAAAAACCCTAAACCCTAAACCCTAAAAACCCTAAAAACCCTAAAAACCCTAAGCCTTAAAAACCCTAAAAACCCTAAAAGCCCCAAACCCTAAAAACCCTGAACCCTAAACCCTAGAACACTGGGCTGCCAAGTCTCCAGCGCCGTCCGGCCCTTTGAGGTCTTCTTCTCTGCGTCGGCCCCTGCTGCGAGAAGAATGCGTACCATCTCATGCGCGCCAAGCTCTGCGGCAACGTGAAGGGGACAGAGCCTTTCCTTAGTTGTCCAGTAACCTGGGGGGAATTAAAGGTTCACCTTTGGGATTAGAAGGAGATGATACTACAGTACCCCCAAAAAGGTTATAAAATTTACCCACTCTACTAGGTTTCCTTGAAGGAGAAGCACCCGCCCTGGCGTGGCTCGTTGACATCCCGGAAGCCGTTCGCCTTCAGGAAATCTTCAAGCCGAAGCTCTCGGAGATGCCGGCGGTCTCGGCGACTGTGGGTTGGTGTCCGCACCTCAACCTCATCCTCCGGGCTCCTTACTGTTTGAAGGTAGAGAAAGTCGAAGGCGTGGCCATTCTGAGTATCCAGAGTGCTGCATGGCACCTCGTGTGCTCTCTCACTCTTTGATGCCTGGGTTTGGCCAGGTAAGACAGCCAACATCGCCGCAGTTCCTAGCTCTGGCGTTGCTAAGAACTACTCTCCGTGCTCGCCCGCCCTTCTAAACTGCGGGGACATGAGCAGGTTTGGACCAGCCGAAATCACCCAAATGTGGGTCCAATACCAAAAACCATCTACAAACGCATCCACAAAACTCTTGCATCACCCTAAACCCTCAACCCTAATTAGTATCTCTCATTCTGAGCACCCCCAACAACATCTGGGGATCAAAATTCCAGGCTCTAACCCTGGACGCCATACCCAGGCCCTCCCACGCATCTGCAAGATATGGGTTTAGGGGTCTATAGGTTTAGGGTTTAGGGTTTACCAAAATGTCAGACACTTTCCGTCCGCAGGGTTTCGTACAGAGTACAAGCTTATATAGGGTTCAAAGTAGAGTCCTTTGATACTAAACCGTAAGCGTTAAACCTTTTTTAACTTCCCAAGCCCATGCCCCAACCCTAAGCCCTAAACCCCAAACCCGGGCCTACACCCCAAACCCTAAAACTTAGGGTTTAGGGTTTAGGGCTTAGGGTTGAGGGTAAGCAGGCTTACCCTAACCCGATTTTTTGCATCCGGACTATGAAGTTACCGTAACCCTAAACCCTAAACCCCAAACCCTAAACCCTAAACCCTAAACCCCCAACTGTGGCCGGAGCTTTGGCGTTGGGCTTGGCCTTCGCGTTCCGGGATGGTCTTGGCCTCAGCTTCCTCGGGTCGGCCTTCGGTTATTCGGGGTAGGGTTTAGGGTTTAGGGTTTAGGGTTTAGGGTTTAGGGTTTAGGGTTTAGGGTTTAGGGTTTAGGGTTTAGGGTTTAGGGTTTAGGGTTTAGGGTTTAGGGTTTAGGGTTTAGGGTCTAGGGTGTTGGGGTGTTGGGGTGTTGGGGTTTTGGGGTTTTGGGGTTTTGGGGTTTTGGGGTCTTGGAGTTTTGGAGTTTTGGGGTTTTGGGGTTTTGGGGTTTTGGGGTTTTGGGGTTTGAGGGTCTTAGGGTTTTGGGCACTTTGGGTTTTAGGGCTTTTAGGGTTTGAGGGTTTTGGGGTTTTAGTGCTTTTGGGGCTTTAGGGTTCTGGGGTTTGAGGGTCTTAGGGCTTTGGGTTTCTTTGGGGATTTTGGGATTTGCGGGTCTTAGTGCTTTTGGGGTTTCAAGGTTTTTGGGTTGCAGGGCTTTAGGGTGTTGAAGTTTTGCGGTTTCAGGGCTTTTGGCTTTTGGGTTAAGGGTGTTGGGGCTTATGGGTGCAGGGTTAGGGTTTAGGGTTTAGGGTTTAGGGTTTAGGGTTTAGGGTTTAGGGTTTAGGGTTTAGGGTTTAGGGTTTAGGGTTTCAGGGTGGTAGGGCTGGTGAGGATTTGGGGGTCTAGGGCTCTAGGGCTACTATTTGTTCTTACCCGTCCAGCGACACGGCTGTAGGGTTGTAAGGGTTTTAGGGCTTTCGGGGAACTTAGGGTTTCGGGATCACGGACAAGCCAGACGGTGCTTCGCAATTCTGCGGCTTCGGGGTTCAGGGTGTCAAGGTTGTGAAGTTTTGGCGCTTAGGCTGTTTTTTGCTTTACGGTTTCGGCGGCATTCTTCGGCTCCAGGGTCATGGAACGTGAGTCACCGTTGGCGCCCACCAAGTATGCCCAAACTTTTTTTTTTTCGCCGAAGGGCCGGGACATGATCCCAAAGCTATATGTCCACTTGCGGAGGGAGGGGTGGTGGGCGCCCTAGACCGTAACAAGGGCAAACTAAAGGGTCCCAAAACCGAAAAAACATCCTTTTTTTCCCCTAAGCCCTGTTTTGAAGTAAACCTAAACCCTAAACCTTAAACCCTAAGCCCTACACGATAAACCCCTGAAACCATAAACCCAAATACCCAAATAGCCAAAAACCCAAAACCCTATACCCTATAAACCCTAAGCCCTAAACCCGAAAATCCTAAACCCCTTAAACCCTAAACCCCTAATCTCTAAACCCAAACGCCCAAAAGCCCAAAAACCCAAAACCCCAGAAACCTTAAACCCCTAATCCCTCCAACTTAGCGCATGCAGATCGCCTTCGGCTTCCCGGAGCAATCGTAGGAAGAGATGGTGCCTAGGATTGCTCCACCGCGACTCAGGGTTTAGGGTTCAGGGTTAAATGCATTTTGGGGGTTCATTCCGGCTGACAGAGGTGGAGATAGCTGGAGGATCCTTGACCGTCACGGCGGTTTCGAGGTGCTGAGCTACATGTGCAGAGCTTAAGGATGTCTAGCATCTATAACAGTAAATCATTCTACCATTCCATAACACTTGTATATCATTCTATTCATATGCTATATTACTCTGTTATACTATTAGATTTGAGATTCATATTCTAAATTACTATGTTATACTATTAGATTTGAGAAGACCCTGGGGCCATGGTTATCATGCCTTCGACTCTCTTGCCGGCACCTGTAGGCGAGGGCTGGGGCGCAAGGGTTGGTCAGTGACAAGCGAGCACGCCGCCAAAAAATGGGGGTTTACGAAATAAAAGGGACCCCAAACATGGACCCCGAAAAGAAGGATTCCCTGATAAGAAGGACCCCAAAATGGCACCCGTGATTTCGCAAAACCCCAAGTAAGCAAATTGCAGAAGCGGCGCCATCCTTCCGCCGGTTCACTTGCTTGATGCGTGTGCTGAGCCATTTCCTTCGCTTTGCAGAAGGAATGAGAAACACATGAGGCGTTTAACTTCAGCACTGCTCCCGTCATTGATGCGTGCCAGGAGTCCGGTTCTGAGAGCTCCTTAGAAATTCGGCCGCGGAAGGTGCTTGCAGCTAACTGGAACACATCTACAGGCCGTAGCGATAGTTCAAATTTTGTGGTATTGCCGTAGTCAACGCATGTCATCGTAGTGGTAGGAGCCGTGGCAGCCGGGACCCGTCGTCGTCATCGAGATCGTCGCCATCGTCGCTGTCGTCGTATTCATCGCCGCAGCAGCCGGAGCAGCAGGAGTAACCAATTAATAAGCAGTAGTAGTAGTAGTAGTAGTAGTAGTAGTAGTAGTAGTAGTAGTAGTAGTAGTAGTAGTAGTAGTAGTAGTAGTAGTAGTAGTAGTAGTAGTAGTAAGTAGTAGTAGTAGTAGTAGTAGTAGTAGTAGTAGTAGTAGTAGTAGTAGTAGTAGTAGTAGTAGTAGTAGTAGTAGTAGTAGTAGTAGTAGTAGTAGTAGTAGTAGTAGTAGTAGTAGTAGTAGTAGTAGTAGTAGTAGTAGTAGTAGTAGTAGTAGTAGTAGTAGTAGTAGTAGTAGTAGTAGTAGTAGTAGTAGTAGTAGTAGTAGTAGTAGTAGTACTAGTAGTAGTAGTAGTAGTAGTAGTAGTAGTAGTCGTAGGTGTTGTAGTAGTCGTAGTAGTAGTAGTAGTCGTAGTCGTAGTCGTGGTCGTGGTCGTAGTCGTAGTCGTACGTCGTAGTCGTAGTCGTAGTCGTAGCGTAGTCATAGTTGTAGTCGTAT